ATTTGAAACAGGAAGTTTAGGTGAGAAACCTCAAAGTGCTTGTGCCTTTTATAAATATCCAGTAGTCTTCTGTTATTTGCTAGTCAGTGTCATGTGGTTTAGGAGGGGCGTGCTCATTGTTCAGAGCATCTGATTGGACAAAAATCTGTCTAACACTAGATTGTGAATATTTTTGGCTCATGTTCTCGGAAGTGAGTGTGCATATGTTAAATATTGTCAAAGGAGTTCACTACCATATAGATGAGGTTCAAGATGACGAAGAAGCCATAAAACTCACATTGGGTATTTAATGAATCAACTTTGATTATTTTCTTAGTCTTGTTTTTCATTATTTGATAATGCAGCATGTTCTTTTCATGTTCTTTTTCAGTCCTTTGTCTCTGTGCTTTTATTTCTGCTTTTCTGCGACTGATGATGAACTTCACATCATTTATCACTCAATAGATTCTGAGAAAATTTGCTTTTTTCTGTAAAGAGTTGCTGTTTTCAAGAAGTAAGAGTATTATCATGGTTTTATGGCCCATGCAGGGTAATTGATAAAACAACATTTTCATCCTGATGAATTCTGTGTTTCAGGGGTTTCTGGTGCTGATTGGTGTGTGAGTTACAGACATTCACACATCTGTGCACTAAAGAACTCATCAGTGATAATGAGCTGCACTTATACATACCCTACTGGATATAAGATCATGAAAGTGTTCTGGACCAAAACAAATGTTAAAAATGCTGATAATGAGTTTCCAGATCTGTCTGAGGATCCTGAATACAGTCAGAGGCTTCAGTATCAGGGAGACGAACAGCAGAACTGCACCATCAGACTGAGTCATGTGACACAGAAAGACGAACACATGTACTATTTCAGATTCATCACTGATAAACCTGATGGAAAATGGATTGGTGAACCAGGAGTGAATCTTACTGTCACAGGTGACTTTCATGAGGCTGAGCTCTTCTTCTGTGCATTATGTTGAATAATAATCAGTGTATGACAGCAGCACTAGATATAATGTGTGTGTTGTGTTCAGATCTTCAGGTGGAGGCTCCTGAGAGAGTGACAGAGGGTCATAATGTCCGTCTGACATGTAAAAGCAGCTGCACTCTGACTGACAGAGCAACATTCATCTGGTACAGAAACTCACAGCCATTAACTGAGAGAAGAGACGGAAACAATCAACTCCTGCTGCAGTCAGTCAGAAGAGAGGATGCAGGCAGATACAGCTGTGCTCTACATGGACACAGTTACATCTCTCCTGATGCTCCTCTCAGTGTCACGTGTGAGTACTGATTGATGTTTTCTCTTAATAGTTGACTTTGAAAAGCTAGCAGAGTTTAGGGCTATATATCTCTGATAAATGGTTAGTAGGTTTTGTGGAAGCTCTTGTCCTTTTACTAAAACCATTATTCTGAAAAACAAAACCAGATTTAAATATTAGTGTCTCTAAAACAAGGCTGAGAAGGAAACAGGAAAGGTCACTTTTACAAATCCAGTGCTTTGTCAATGTATAAAAATGCATATGAATTATGTACATATGTAAATAATGAATAAACCATAAATACCAGTGGCAGCTGGCCAATGGAGGGTGCTCGAGCAACGCCCGCCCTGAATCAAATCAAAAAAGTCAAGTCAGGACTAGGACTGGATAAAGCAAACGTGTGTCTCGTAAGTAAAGTTTTGATGTATGATGATTGTAATCAAAGTAAAAACACAAGCACATTTCAGAAGGCACGGATTTGGGACATTATAAAACGCTAAACATGAAAAAGGCTTAATGAAGCCTAATATACTAAAACAGTGATATTGGAGGGCCAAATTCTGTCCACAACTTATTATCAAAGCATACTTTCCAGACAAGCAGAATAGACCAGAATATGAACGCAACAAGCTAAACTGCATGTTAAGAATTTTTGCCCCTTTAAACAAGTGTAACAATTAATTTTCCTCATAGTTTTTGCTGTTGCAGTGTATACATACATTGCAAATTAGGAAAAGTAAAAATTATTTTTAATTTACCTTGAAAAAAGCTTGCGAAAAATACAGTTTTTTGAGAATCATCCTCAAACTTCATCCAGAATTTGGTAAAAAATGTATCTGCATTTCAAACCTGTCCAAATGTAGTCTTAACATTTTTTTTCCCCTTCTGTAAACGTTTTTCTTGAACTTTTTCTTTACCTTTCACCGTTTAGCTTTAAATCATACTGGGGTGTTTGATGAAATTGTCTAGTAACTAAATTCAGCTGTAGTGGACCCTGACTGAATAAGAACCAAAGCTTTACTGATGATTTTTATGAAGTTTTATTAGTGTCCGTTTACTCCAAGAAAACCACCGTAAGAGCTGAATAAAACAAGTACAACAAATGTGCATTAAAGCCTTGTCCATAGACTCTCTCTACTGCGTTATTATAACATACTCAGCAAATTTCACAAAATACTTGTTATAACTAACAGTATTAAAATATATACAGACCTTATGCCTTTTTGGGGGGTGCTAAATAAACATATAAACAGTCTTTCCGTGAAAGAGTTCTGACAAGCCGTCATGAAGCGTTATCTCCCTGTACCTTATAGGTTGTTTGCATATGACGTAACTGCTGTGGTGCGAAATGCAGCTGGAGGGCAGGAAGTGGTTTTTCTATATAGGAGTGGCTAGCAGAAACTCAAAATGGCTATGTTTTGCGTGGTTTATAGATGGTCGAATCGGTCAAACCGACAAACCACAAGGAGCTTTTATCGTGTACGAAAATGTGTCGTTCATAAGGGGGGACAAGGAAAGAAACTGACTGAAAAACGCTGGAAAAAGTGACTTGTAAACTTGCATCTGCGGTCGGGAGGAGCCGAGTCGGATAATGCTCGTGTGTGCAAATGGTTAATATAAGATATAATAATATATTAAGATATTAAAAATATATTACGATATAAGAAATATATAAATAGGTACAGGGCTGCCAACTCTCACCATTCAAGCATGAGACAGTCAGAATTCACACAATGCTAAACGCCACACGCAGACACGATGTAAATAAGATATTAAACGTGCAGTTTAGAGAGCTTCATTGATTATAACAGAACAATGTGAGATTGTGATAAATTGGAGTGAGTGACAGCTTTTTAGTGATTATATGGGATTCACTTTCAAAATAGCTTGTTTGCTATCAGGGTTAGTTGCTTAGCCTATATCCACCGCCTCCATGGCAGGCAATTTATTTCAATTTAGTTGAAGAATCTCTGCTCTTCATAACATAAGGATCACGTCCAAGTTATGTTGTGATTTTCTGTTTATACCTCTCTCTTGTAATAGTGTCTAAACCAGTACAGCACGGACTTTCCTCCATCTCATCCGTTCTGCTTTTCACTTCCTGTCCTCCATCTGAATTTCACGCGTCATCAGAATCATGTGATTGCAAACAAGCTTTTGCCATTACCCCTTTAGCTGTGACTGCAGATTCCAATCCAAAATAAAAGTCCCACATACATAACAGAAATAATGCGAACCTTATTCAACTTTCAACATACAAAGTATATTAAAAGCAATACAAAACAAACTAGAGATTATGTTGTTACATCAGCCCTACCTAGAAAATTGTCCACCAGCCAGCACTGCTACGTCCAGTGAATCCTGTGATCTCCATCAGTCCATCTGGTTAAAAAACGGATGGAATTTCATAAATCTGTGACTTATAAGTTTCATTTGTGTGATGTCAAATTTACTTTGTTACAGTTTTTTTTTTTTCTTTCAATTGCTAACATCCCTTTGTGCAATCTGTAGTCTCATTTTCAAAACTCTACACACAATTAGCACAATATCTGTCTGTTGTGACCATACCATTAACAAAATTAATGTTGTTTTCACACAATATGCAGTCAATTAACATATTTCTAAAATGCTTAAATTTTCTTTTCACACAAGCTTACCACATACCAAAATCATGGATCTTTCTTATCTTTTTTACAAATGCTAAAACACAGCATGACATAAATGAAGACCTAATGTTCCAAACTTTAAGTGTAAAGCCTCTACTTCTGCAACAACAGCAGCTCAAAAGTATTGAAAAAAAATCTCTATATATAAAATATTGTAACAACTGAGAAGCATTTTTAAGTAACAGATCACTGAAATATTTAGAAACAGTTGGAGGAATAGTCAGGTGTTGATGCTCTTTCCATTATATCAACATTGTAAGTTAGGGGGCAGTCGTGGCCTAATGGTTAGAGAGTCGGACTTGTAACCCAAAGGTTGCGGGTTTGAGTCTCATGTCAGTCAGTAATTGTTGGTGGGGGGAGTGAACATACAGCACTCTCTTCCACCCTCAATACCATGACTGAGGTGAGACCCTTGAGCAAGAACCGAACCCCCAACTGCTCCCCGGGCGCCGCAGTAATATGTCTGCCCACTGCTCTGGGTGTGTGTGCACTTGGATGGGTTACTGTAATGCAGAGCACACGTCACTTCACCTTCTCTTTAGAGTAAAAAATATATCTTTGAATCGATTTTGTTGATGCAGAACAACACAAAGAATCAGAGAGGGAAAAAATAATGCCTGGGAGAGGAAGAGGAATAGTTGGATCAGAAAAAGGGAGAAGAAGAGGGAGGGGAGAGGACTAAGCTGGACTATGCATTTTTATGTGTGTTTGTTTTTTTTCCCCTTACACATGTGGAACCTATGAAAGCCTATTTCTGCCGTGGAATATAAAAGGTAAAGGGTAATTGTGACTTTTTTTCTTGCAATTGTGAATTTAATAATGATAATTTAATCTGATAAAGTCTGAATTGCAGGATGTAAACTCGCAATTCCATGAACAGAAGTCCAAATTGTGAGATAAAAAGGTCACAATTATCGTTTTTACTTTTTTATTCTGTGACGGAAACAAGCTTGCATAGTAACCAAAGGCCATGTATGTTGGAATTTTTGTTGATCACTGGCATCAGCTACCATGGGAGCACCATCCACATCCAGCCCCCCACTCACTGGAGAGCAATTTCAATCAAGGTTACAAATGCATTTCTGCAAAAGGGACCCTATTTTTTTTCTGTTGTACGTTCTATAAAGTAATGACTCATTCAGATTTAGACAGTATGTTGCCAAGAATGAACATATTCAACACTTAAAAATGTAAAATGGGTTTCAGTTGAAGGTTACTAAATTACAAAAAAAAATAAAAAAAGGATTTTTATATTGTCTGTATGCAGGTAAAACTGAAACATGACAGGTAATTCTGTTTTTGTAAAGTCATCAACTGTTAGTATTTTGACTGTGCTATGATTGACTATATGTTCCTGTTGGATAGAAAAGAAAGGCTAATGTCTTGACCGAATGACTCAATTTTGAATCGGGTTTGCTGTGTTTTGATGGAGTTAGTATGTGTAGAAAAAGGTATTCAGCATTTTGAAATGTAGAGTTTTTATTTAACAAAATGTGGTTTTGACCAGAAAATTAACTATTTGGCTAATTGTGTGATGTAGGTGTGTTGCTGTGTTAAGAGTTTAGAAAAAGTACTTTAAATATTGGTAAATGCTTGTTAGCGATTGAAAAAAAAAACTGTAATGTCTTGTATTTTTTTAGACCCACCAAAGAATGTCTCTGTGTTCATAACTGGATCTGGTGAAATAGTGGAGGGAGATTCAGTGACTCTGAGCTGCAGCAGTGATTCAAACCCTCCTGCTCTGAACTTCAGCTGGTTTAAAGAGAATCAAAGCTCAGCTGTTGGATCTGGACAGAGTTTCAGTGCACTACAGAGTGGACGCTTCTACTGTGAGGCTCACAATCAACATGGATCTCAGAGATCAGACGCTGTTACTGTCACAGGTGAAGGTCTGGGAGATCAAACCTGTATAACTTTCTTTGGTTCGGACAGTTAATCTCAGCTGATTTGTTTCTCTCTTTCAGAGCATTGCAGATCCAGTTGGCATGAGGTTTTTGGGATCACAGTGGAATGTGGAGCATCATTAATGCTCATTACCATCATTATCATCATCATCCTGTTCATAATGTGAGAACCATTAACAACATTGATATTTTCAAATACAGTTGTCTATATCCTGTCAATGTCTGTCATTATTACAGAAAGAAACGAAGGAGTGTTAAATCTGAAGATCTCACAATGACGCAGGTAAATCTTCCAGACACAACTTTACAGAAGCAGAAAGTCTTTATCAACATAATCCACCAAAAAACATTCAGAAATTTATATTTCTCTCTTTAAACAGATGGCTGTCTGTATGTGAAGTGCCCATAGATGGTGTGACACAAGATTTTGGAAATTAAAAAAAATATAAAAATACTAAGTTAAAATGTGTGTTTTTTTTTACCTGTTACTCTGTCTGAACACAAAAACACATAGCACGAGCAGCAGAATCCGATTCACAAATAAATGACTCATATGAGTCGAATAATCATTTAAAAAAGCCTGATCTCAGAATGATTCAAACCAATAAACCAAGAGCACAAATCTATTTTGAAAACGAATATATGTATTTAATATTGTGCTATGCATTTTGATTTATTACCTACTATTATTTTTTTATGTAAGTTCTTCCGTCTCTGTGTTGCTGTAGATGTCTGATCCCAGTGAAGACACATATACAGCTCTTGAGCTCAAGTCCACGACCTCTGACCTGTACGACACACTCACAGTAAGTGAGACGTCAAAGTCAGATCATCATCACAGATGATCACATGACCGATCTCTCGCTGTCTTCCACACAGACCGTTCGTCCCAGACCTCCTGAAGACTCTTGATCCTAAACATGAGAATCCATCAGTAAGTGTCTGAACTGCAGCTCCTCTCCATATAATCAATACAACTCTCTTCAGTTCTAGTTTGATTGTTTTATGAAGCTTGTGGAAGGTTTATAATGTTGCTGATGAACTTCAGTCAGTCGTTCTTCTTCTTGTTGTTTGTTCAGATCAACAGGAAGATGCTGCAGTGAGAGGCGGAGCACAAAGGAACCAATCCTGAGCTCTGTGGGCGGAGCCACACATGATTGACAGCTGTCATTAGTGAAGAGTTGATGAAGCCTTTTATTTCTTTATAGTTTAGGAAAGATGATGCAACAGTGGTATTAAATGAAATATTTCAATTAATTAAATGAATTAAGGCAGTGAGTAAGATTTCAACAAAGTTTAAAAAAATAAAAAAATAAAATGTGTGTACAAACAATTTTCACTCAGAACCTGCTAGTAAATTAAGAAATTACCAAGAAATGTTAAGTTAATACATTGAATTTAACACGAAATTAAACTCCAATAGTTCGTTTTATTTACAACTTCACAAAAATATTTTTTGCAGTGTATTTTTCTTGTCACTGTTCCAGGATTTATTAATTTCAAATAATATCCACTCCTAACTCTGGTTCACTTCTGAGACAACAGACATTATGTGCAAAACTATATTTCTGTACGTTCTGCACTTGTAAGTGACTCATAAACAGCCAATGGGTGGCGCCCCTGATTTATTAAGGTGAGATTGGACACTTTCAGTTACTGTACAGTTACTGTACAGTACAGTTACAAACACTGAAAGTTTGGACACTTTCAGTTACTCTCATTCACTTCACACAGTAAGACAAAGACAGAGAGACTCTGGCATCTGGACAAAATGGCATCTGCATATACAGGTCAGTCTAAATTAATTAACCTAATGTGACACTCACACGCTACAGCTTTACAGTATCGAGAGCTAAAGTCCATCCTGTGCTTTTTGTTTTTGCTAATTAACGGTTACTCACCAATGGCTAGTTAGGAAGTACTGGTCATATTTCTGTCTATCTATCTATCTATCTATCTATCCTCACATAGAGCGACACTATCTATACTCACATAGACCGACATGTATTAACTAGCAAAGCTAAGCTGCCTGACTGTTTATATCATCACAAAATGCTAACTTTATATTTAACTATACATGAAGATGGAAATATTACCAAATTTGTCCATAATGTATATTTATGTAAAGTGATACTGGATAAGAAATTTCAACTGCCTGATTTACATCACCGCAGAATGTAAAATCTCACCAGCTCTAAACTGCTAAATGTGACAATATGTCATGAAGATAATAAGCTGAAATACTGTGTATTGTGAAAAGCGCTGTACAAATAAACTTGACTTGAGTTGACGCTCTTTTGATGGAAGTTTTTCTACATAGAATTTACTTAAAAAAATACATGTTGGTTGTCAAATTCAAACACAGCACTTCCTGCAGGGAAAAAATGAAAAATAAAATAAATATATATATGCAATATATATATGCAATATTAGCAGTTTCCTTTGGATAAAATGTATTTTGATAAATAGCATTACGATTTTTAAAGACTTTTTACTGCTATTAGTGAGCATTAAAAACTTAAAAGAACAACAAAAAAAAAAGGAAAAAAGAAAAATTCTAACCGGCATGCACTGCTTCAAGTCAGACGCTGATCGATCTGCGCAGTGCTGCATAAAGTCAAACGCACCTACATGCGTCAAATGGGTGAAGCGTGATCTAGTGGGGTTTAGGATTAGGATTATGATGTGGTTGGATTTAGAAATGTAGCTGGATTAGTTCATTTCTAAGGAGAAATGAAGCTCTAGATGCAGCAGTGAACTCTGATAGTGATGGAGCGACACTACAGGAGGCTTTAAAGACAGGAGTAGCAGCTGCTCTAGATGCAGCAGTGAACTCTGCTAGTGATGGAGCGACACTACGGGAGGCTTTAAAGACAGGAGTAGCAGCTGCTCTAGATGCAGCAGGTAACTCTGCTAGTGATGGAGCGGCACTACAGGAGGCTTTAAAGACAGGAGTAGCAGCTGCTCTAGATGCAGCAGGTAACTCTGCTAGTGATGGAGCGGCACTACAGGAGGCTTTAAAGACAGGAGTAGCAGCTGCTCTAGATGCAGCAGGTAACTCTGCTAGTGATGGAGCGGCACTACAGGATGCACACTACAGGAGGCTTTAAAGAAAGGAGTAGCAGCTGCTCTAGATGCAGCAGTGACCACTGCTAGTGATGGAGCGACACTACAGGAGGCTTTAAAGACAGGAGAAGCAGCTGCTCCAGATGCAGCAGGGAACTATGCTAGTGATGGAGCGGCACTACAGGAGGCTTTAAAGACAGGAGTAGCAGCTACTCTAGATGCAGCAGGGAACTCTGATAGTGATGGAGTGGCACTACAGAAGGCTTTAAAGACAGGAGTAGCAGCTGCTCTAGATGATTATTATGTCACACTTAAATATGAGCTACATCATGCCAGTAAAATCAAAACACACCTCTTATAATCCAAATAAACAACTCAAACTGAGCCTACCTTCTGTTGGGTTTGACCAGTATGAAAGAAGATGCAATGCTGCTGTTTTTGTGCTACAGAAGTTAAACATAATACAGTGCTCTGATTTACAGGAAAAGCCCTGATTTACAGGAAAAGGCATCAGGGTGTGTGTGTGTGTGTGTGTGTGTGTGTGTGTGAATCCATCACAAACTGTCCAGGGTGTTTCTACAGCCAGAGATTCTGGGATAGACTCCAGCCCTCCTTACAATCCTACAGAGGATAAAGCAGCAATAGTCTTTTGCTATTTTCTAGTCAGTTTCATGTGGTTTAAGTGCTCATTGTTTGGAGAACCTGATTGGAAAAAAGTCAGTGTAGCACCAGATTGTGAATATTTTTGGCTCATGATCTCAGAAGTGAATTTGTATATGTTATAAAATGTATTGTGTCAAATGAGTTCACTAGAATATAGATGAGCTCAGATCTGATAGACAAAGTAAAAGCCACACAACTTACAGTGGGCATTTAATAAATCAAGTCTGATTATTTTCTTAGTCTTGTTTTTCATTATTCAATAGTGCAGTATGTTATTGATTACTTGGTTCTCTTTTCACTCCTTGTCACTGTGCATTAATTATAAAAGACACAAGCCCTTTGACGTATCTCAGCCAAACTTCCTGTTTAAAAGGAAATATGTGAGAACCGGACAGAACAGAAGAAAGTGCTCATCAGCCGCTCATTGTGAGGCCTTAAATAAAATCATCAGAGTGTTTGTGATGTGAATGTAACAGAGACTCACTGTGAATCATGAGCAGAAAGATCAGAGGAAGACGAGGAGCCATTCTTCCCCCTGCTGGATATCTTTGATCATTGCGCCATGTGATTCACGCTTCTGTACAGCAGTGACTGTCTCAACAGGTGATCAGATGATTTACTTACTAAAGTGCAGAAGCACAAGAGAGCAGATTCAAATTTGAAATTGAAAATGAATATTTGTGATTCACAGTTAGTGAGCATCAAAGTCCACGTCAGTGGTAGTTTGAGGGTTTGTACAAACAAATATGAGACGATCACAAATAAAACTGATCACTTAAAAACAAAGCTACAAGAACACAAAAGACAGAATAACAGAAGCTAATAATATTGAGCACTTCGAAACAAAATGATACATTGTCCATTGCGAAAGTGCATAATTATGATTTTGTTCAATATATCAAAATTATCAATTCTGATTTAAAAGCTGGAATATGTTCTGCAGACTTAATTGTAACATTATGTGGAGGTTTCCAAGACAGGGATTAACATTAGTCTTAGACAAAAATGCACATTTAAACTATAATAAGTGAAAAAGCATTTCTCAGACATGGTTTAAAATAGTCTTAGACTTTCCCTTATATTGATTTATAATGTCTGATTTCCAGAAGGAGGATCAGAGCTAGCCTGGGTCTAAGTGAAGGAATAACTTAAACCTGGTCAGAGGCAGGTTTAACTTCAGATTAACTGATGTTGGCCTCCAGGTTGTCCTTGGCAACAGAGGAAAATGGATTACCTGGACTATTTCAATGACGATGACAGAGCACCACCAAGACCAGACAGAAGGGCAATTATAGACAGGAGCAACCCACTGAATGATTTTGATAAAATTTCACATGTAAAAACTAAATTCCGCTCACATAATTTGTTTGCTTGAACCAAAGGGTAAGGACACAACAAACCGACGAAAAGTCGACTGTGGTGTCGCCTCGCCTTGTGTTTTCTCGCATCACCTGTGTCGGGGAAAGACATTTGCTCAAAACCACACCAGACAGACTACAGCCAATGGCCAACAAGCGTGTACTCTCTATGATTGCATGAGAGAACATAACTCTCCCATACCAGCAGGTGGCAGTAGTATGTATTAAGCATTCAGACAGGGAAAGCGGAAGAGCTAGAACCGTGGCTATACTAAGCAAGCAGCTTGTAACTAGGGATGTAACGGTATGAAAATTTCTTATCACG